CCGCTGCCGGGCGCAGCGCCACATGGTTGGGATGCCACGGCCTCCCCCGCCTTGGCCGGGCGGCCCAGGGCCCCTCTCTGGGGGATTTGGTGGGGCCAGGAGGGGACTCCACCGCTGACCAGGACCTGCAGCTCCACTGTAGCAGCTAATGCCCGTCCAGAGGGATTTTTTCTCTGCTGTGCTAGCAGTGCCCTTCCCGGCGTGGGGCTGTGGCAGCTGGAGCACCCAACAAAGCTCCACCAGCTCCCCTGTCCTGGCAGCATCCCCAGCTCCCAGCTGACTCGCTCCTCACTTGACCCCAGCACTTGGCCTCAGCTGAAATGAGAGCGAACACAGATCCCTCTGCCCCTCCTGCCTAACCCTGGCCCCCCAGCCACTGCCAGCCAGCACTTGGCCTCAGCTGAAATGAGAGCGAACACAGATCCCTCTGCCCCTCCTGCCTACACCTGGCCCCCCAGCCACTGCCAGGCCCCCCCAAACATGTGGCACCTGTTACAGGTTCAAAGAGCGGCTGTGGCAGGTCCATGTGGCTGGGCTTGGGGCCGCACACGTGCCTGTGCTGTGCCCCATCTCTCCAAGGATGCAGGAGCTGGCAGCCATCCTGCCTGCAGTCCAGCAGCACTGAGCCCTGTGGGGCCGAGGAGCACCCTGAACCCAGCACAAGATTCAGGCCAGGGCCAGTGCCCATCCCATGGAGGAGACGCAGCTGCTGGTTCCAAAATAATCTTGACCACCGGCTTCCGGCACCCTCCTCCATGCTCAGGCTCAGCTCTACCCCCTTGTCACCTCTTATTTATAGCCTGGCAGGAGAGCGGGGACACCACAGCCCTGTGACCAGCTGCCATCCCCTGTCCCCATGTCCTGCAGGCGCAAGGGACACAGCACAGGCCACCATCGAGTTAAAAATATTTTTAATGGCCACATTTGCTTTGGTCTGAATCCAAAGGCACTTGTGACAAGGCAACGCAGAGCCCCCAGGGCGTGTGTGGCCCCTGAATTTCCCAGCTGGGGAGGTGCAGGGGGCTGCAGGGACCTGCCCAGGCATGAGCAGCAGAAGGCAGCAGGATGGGGGAGCCTGGAGCTGGCTCCCTGCACCCCGCACCCAGTGCCGGGTCTCAGGGCACAAGTGGGGCAAGGACCACAGTGGAACTTCATCCTCGGGAGAGGCACCAGCTCGTGGCCCTGGTGGGGCCAAGCTCTCCTGCCCCGTGTTGTGCTGGAGCCCAGCAGTGTGAATGTTTAATCCCGCATTAAATATTCATCCTGGTAGAGTGGATGGAAAACATCCATGGTTACTCTGGGTCCATCCAGGCAGACATTTGGAGCCAATGGGGCTCCGTGGGTCCAGCTCATCCCCCCTATGCACCGACATAGGGGGTCCCAGCCCACCTACCAGCTGGGGAACCGTCCCTGTCGCTGCAGAGACAGAGACTCCCCATGCCAGGACTTGGCAAAAGGCTTTTAGCCATGGCACCAGCAGATCCAAGACACATCACTGCAGGATGAGAGCCACCCCACTGCTGGGGTCCCCGCTGCCTCACCCCACGGCTGGTGCCCTACTCGCCTGCCCAGGACGGGTGGGTGAAGATGATGTTCCTCCTCTTGGCCCAGCGGGCGAAGATGGCTTTCTCGGTGATGAAACGGTGCCCGGCGCGGTGGGCTTGCTCGTGCACCAGGTACATCCTACACTCGTCCAGCCGTCCCTTCTCAAAGTAGTGGTAGGGCACGCTTGAGTGGTTCTTCTCCCTGGTGGGAGGGGATGGGATGGGCATGGAACTTGGGGGGACGACGGACTACCCCGCGCCCATCCCCACTGCCCCACACACACCTGCAGTAGCTGTCACTGACCATGCCGAAGACGCATATCTGCTCGCACAGCTCCATGGCCAGGATCATGGTGAACCAGCCCGTGCTCAGGAAGGAGCCGGACTTCATCCTGCAAAGCACCACAGCTGTGCTGGAGTGGGTGGCACGGTGCTGCCGTCCCAGCTGGGCTATGGGTGCCCACCGGGGGGGATGGGTGCTATGGCAGGGGGACCTGATGGGGGCTCCTTGGAAGCTGGCGGTACCTGTTCTTCCCCGTCTCGTTCTGGAAGACATCATCACAATACGCCATCTTCTCCTCAGTCAGGGTGTAGATCTGCAGGTGGGGGTACGTCTCCATCACCTTCAGCAGCGCCCGGTAGGTCGAGCCTATCTTCTCCCGGTTCATCTTCTTCGCTGGCCCCCAGATGATGTAGAGGGTCTCCTGGGACTGCTGGAAGAAGTAGGGCTGGTTCTTCAGCAGCAGCGGGACGCTGGTGTGCGATACCACCCGGACGGTGCTCCGTATCCCTACGTCTTCCTCATAGCCAGCAGTGGGGGCATGGTTCATGCGCAGGACGCACTCCTGCCCGTCGATGGCCTGTCCCAGGCGCGAGCCCAGCATCTGCCCCGAGCTGGAGACGATGGCGCAGCGGCGGCACAGCGCTCGCTCCAGTGGCTGTGGGGAGATGCACTGTCAGCCATGGGCTCCCCACTCCCTCCCGCAGCGGCTGGACACATGGCAGCCCCATCCACCCTTCCCTAAGGAAGAGGAAACTGAGGCACGGGTGGGTTGAGCTGCCCCACCAGTCCCCCAACCTGCCCCAACCCCACGCACCTTCCCATCAGGGACGCGGATGTACCCCTGGAAGCTGTGGATGGTGGATGCAGAGGGGGTGCAGTCCCCACGCTCCCCCAGGGCCCAGCAGCAGGGCCGCAGGCAGGTGTGGGAGCACAGCAGGAGGCACAGCATGGTGACCACCATCACGCACACCAGCATCAGGAAGAGCCGGACCTGGAAGCAGAGTGGGGAGGTTTCTTCAGGCCTGGCCACGTGCGCCAGCCCCGTGTCAGATGCTGGCAGCCCCGTGGTGCCGTGCAGCACCAGCAGCCCCTTGGCGGAGGGTGTTTGGGCGCGGGTGCGTTGGCTGGGGCGCAGCAAGGCGCCGCGGCGGGGAGCGCTGGGTGCCTGTGCCTCGCTCGCTTCCTGCAGGCAGCAATGGCCCACGCGCTGCATGGCTGCACGCCCCGGCCGGGGCTCTGTGCTGTCTGCGGGGACCAGCAGCTGCCGGGCTGCGCCTTCCCCCAGCACCGCGTTCGGGGTGATCGGCCCCCCAGTGCTGGTGGGGTCCCCTTGGCCCCTCGCTCCGCCGGGGCCCCACTCCCTCTCTGTCCCGGTGGGTACTCACCAGCATCTTCATCCTCGGGGGGCTGGTGGGTTGCCCGGCAGGGTCTGGAGGTCACCCGGAGGGTGGGGGCTCGCACCCTGCACACAGAGCAGGCTCAGCGGTGGCACCAGTGAGCAGGGCACAGGGGCCCCCCGAGGGTGGGCTCCTCCTCCACCCCCAGCACCCCAATGCCCTGGGTCCC